TGTTGAACTTGACTGTTTCAAAAATTAATTTGTAAATAATTAAAACTGCCACTGATGTTTTATTCACTCATTTGTACATTTTCTGATAGTTAATTCTTGTTCAAATTTACTTAATGTATCCGTTTATATGAACCTAGGGTAAAACTTGATAACTTTGTTTGAATAAGTTTATGTATTTAAGGAAATGCAAAAATCAAAAGTAAATCCATTAATGGGTAAACGATTTGTATTTGCTACTTGAATGTTTATCTATCACTATGATCAAACATCTTATATTTGATGAGATGCATGTTTTACAGACTGGTTTAAGATAACAGTGAAGATAAATGATCCAGACTTTTATAAAAATCTGAAATTTGTAGTCCAGTCTATAAAAGCTACAATATCATTGGTCAATTTCAAATAATGCTTTAATAAACAACCAATCAGATGCTGAGATGCTGGAAGTATCAGACTGGTCCTCAAATGTTATTTGAGATAATTCATGATTTTATAGAAAGATTATTAAATGGTATTTAAATTTAAAATTGAATACTGCCCATTTAACTAAATTCCTGGTTTTATATTATGTTTTTTGTCTACCAGCTTAGCTCTATAGGAATAGCATGGTGGATTTGTTCCCCACATAATGCAGGGGGGCGCTCAGGTTTGATCCTTGGGTGAAGTGAAATTTCTCTGTGACAACTGATCACAAAAGTCATATAATATTGATTAATTTTGTCTCCTGCTGTTGTTTTATAAATCATGCAACTTGTAGTAGGTCACTTGTGTAGATGTTGGTAATTACCAGTTAGTTACCAGTTAGTTATCCAGAAAAAACAGGCGAATTAACTGCCTAAATTATAATGACCAAAAGGGTACCATTGAAATTGGCATAATGACTATGAGAATCAAATGAACAAACTATTTGAATAAATTATCTTTTGGAGTAAAGATATTTAAACAAAACAGAAAGCAAGTAGTTAAATTTTAAATTGTAAATATCTTGTTGACAGTAGACTTTTTACTAAACAGCGATTAAACTAATTTAAAATAAGTCTATTATCTAAGTTACCTGAAATGTTTGAATCAGTGACTTAAAGAATAGAATAAGTAATTTCAAGGTTTGAATAAGTAACTTTATGGCTTGAATAAGTTACACTTTAAGGTTTGAATAAGTAACTTTATGGTTTGAATAAGTAACTTTAATGTTTATATTAGTAACTTTATGGTTTGAATAAGTAACTTAATGGTTTGAATAAGTAACATGGGGTTTGAATAAGTAACTTTAAGGTTTTAATAAGTAACTTAATGGTTTGAATAAGTAACATCATGTTTTGAATAAGTTACTTTATGGTTTGAATAAGTAACTTTAAGGTTTATATAAGTAACTTTATGGTTTGAATAAGTAACTTAATGGTTTGAATAAGTAACATGGGGTTTGAATAAGTAACTTTAAGGTTTTAATAAGTAACTTAATGGTTTGAATAAGTAACATCATGTTTTGAATAAGTTACTTTATGGTTTGAATAAGTAACTTTAAGGTTTAAAAATAATTACAAGACTGTTTGAACATGATACCTCAAGATTTTGAATATTTAGTAACTTTAATTTGAATGATATGCTTAAAATTTGAATAAGTAACCTCAGGGTTTTGAATGAGTAACTTAAAGGTTTGAATTATAAACTTACTTAAACTCATCCTGTAATTTTAAAAGTGTGAATAAGTATATCTTGATGGAAATTCATAACACATGACATAAAGGTTTAGAAAAAATACTTTCATAGATTAAAAAAAAAATAGACTATAGAATTTGATGAGGTTGGTACAAAAAAGTATAAAAAAAATATTTAGAATATTTAGAATCAAAACAAAGAGTTTATAAAGCTGTTTAAGTACCTTACACAGACTTACCTTTTTGAAAGACTAAAATCTTTATGATGATCAAAAGTTATGGCAAAATTGCAATTTTTATCAAACCCTTGTGAAAAGAATTCAATTTTATTAAGTCCAAACAAAAAACTGTTTTATGAAATAAAAATGTACTTACCTGTAAAAGAAACAGAACTCTTGTAAATATAAATGTATTATTTTTACTTCTAAATTGCAATTTGTATAAAATCCTTAACAAAAAAGTAATTTTATCATATATATAAAGTTTACTTGCCTTTTATATGATTAAAATCTTTATTATAAATTATAAGATATTATTTATACTTCTAAATTGCAATTTGTGCGAAAATCCTAAAAACAACATTATTTTCCTTTTCTATTAAAATCGTAACAAAATTATTATTATTAATTTGATCTTGAATCAAAGCAAGAAATAAGTGTTTTCCATTCACCTTTATATGACATGGTCAACACAGATATATTACAAAAACAAACTCTACCTTTATTTAGTTTATTAATTTGGATTTTGATACTATACAAACAAATCAATATCTCTCTTTGATTTGCTGTAGAAAAAATAATTCTTACGAGAAATAAATTTTTCATAATAAATGAAATTTTATTTTAAAGTTAGCATGATCAATGGAAGGATGTTACTGGAACAAATATTAGCTCTGGTACAAACAAAACTTTACCTTCAATTACAGTAGAAATATAATTTATAGCTTCATAATGTGAGTTCACAATGGATTAGCCAACATGTTGCACTTATTTCTAAAACTTTACCCCCAGATTTGCCGGGAAAACCCTAAATATTCTTAATTTCGGTGTATTATATAAGTCTTTTTAAATATTCCAAATATAACAGGGACAATTCCTAGACAGAGTAGTTAAGGTTGTTGACTTGAATCCACTTGCCCCTTATGGCTGTGGGTTCAAAATCTATAAGGTACTTTGGATTCCTTTATGTGAGGAAGCTATCCACCTAGCTAATGGAACATAAGTGCCCATTTGTGCCTGAAATATTGCACAGAGGGGCATATAATATCTCAATCCTTCGCAAGTAAAGCCGGAAAGTCGTCATAATGATCATTACAGTGTTGGGGTAATTAAAATCAAACAAACAACAATCTACAATTCTACATCAATAAAATACAAATGATAAATACAAGTGTTAAATAAGGAAATCCATTATATAGAAATTATACCTTTGATTGTGAGAATTTCCTTTGCTATTCAAACTTCAAAATATAATCAATCTCGGAATTCCGTGTCCAGATGTCCTGCCAAAACCACAAAATTTTCCAAATACAAAGAAAAAATGTGTAAAATTGTTTTCTACAAAAATTTAAAGATTTCACCAAACTGCAGGAATGGCCGTGATGTCACAGTTATTTCATTTTAGTATAATGTTTGAATTAAGTGACAGATTATGCCATTGATATGATATATTGTCGTAAAAACCAACTTCAAATATCTCTCTACAAGATGTGTGAACAACAAAAATAAAATATTGCAGTTTGACAAGTACGAGTTTATTATGACTTTTGAAAAACTACTTGATTTTTTGTATGCATGTTATTTTACTATCTTTTATAAAAGAATTTTTATATTTGTGTTACTTTTTTTTTTCACTTACATGTTCTTATAACTTCAGAGTCAGAGTTTTTTTCAAATATTCTATTCTAATAGTTTCTCATTAACTTTAAAAAAAATAAATTATAAAAAAATGTTTTAGCAAAGTTAATTTAAACATAACACTTTTGATAACAATGAAATAGTTTTAGTATTATATAGATTGCTTTTAAACCTTTAGCTGCTCAATTTGTTTAATGTAGTATTTGAATCTGCCACATGAAAATTGATATGACACTATGGCTTAATTAAGATTCTTTCTAAGTGACATAAAAATTCTTTCTAATAAGTGGCATTAGAATTTTTTCCAAGTGACTTAAAGATTCCTTCTATTAGTGACATAAGAAAATTATTCTTTCTAATTTAAGTGACTTAAGAGTTCTTTCTAAGTGGCTGGTGAATTCTTTCTAAGTTAGGGATTTGTCAAGCTTGCCTATGAAAGTTTGGAGGTTTTGCTCATGTGCCTCCTTCAAATAAATGTTATCCAAAACTCGTCAAATGTGAGTTTTTCCAACCTAATCCCCCAGTACAAACAAACTTTTACTGCTATAGCTTTACGGAGCCCGTTTAACTGTTCAAAATAGTTTTGTCAATCTGTTAGCTTATTTTTGAAGCTGTAAGTTTGTAAAAGTAGGCTTGTACCCTGGATTAACTGAAAAAACCCAAAAGTACTCTTCATTCTGGAATTAGTTGATTCTCCTTGGAATACAGTAGTGCATCTGAGGTATTTTTCTGCCAGTAAAGCTGCGGATCAAATTTTCATGTAACTAAGAGTGCAACAGTAATTAAGTAATAAATATTGAAGTATATAATGCATTGCAGTGAACCCTTATTGAATTAAATGATTTTTTATGAAAATCAATGTAAAACTATAAAGCTTCTGTTTAATATATATTTTAATTTCATCCAATTATTTTTGGGCAAAAATTGGGACTGTCTGAATCATCTAAAAATATCTAGATATGCTCATGTACCAGTTCATTGTTTGTACATTCATTCATTTGTTTGTTTGTTCATTTGTACTCTCCTTTGTTTATTTGTTCTTTCCTTCATTCTTTCCTTTGTTGATTGATTGATATATTGATTGATTAATTGATTGATTGATTGATTGAAACTTGCAAGTACGACATAAGACAGTTCCCATGGTCTTCACAGCATTCTTCTTCAATGGACCCATGAAGTTTCTCTTCTCCTCGATGGTCTGGAAAAGTCCATGACCAAACTTGCTGGAAGTATCAATGAACTTCAGACAGATCTTCTCCATCTGTTTTCTCCTGTCTGATAGAAGATTCAATCTGTATTATTTCTAGTTACAATTCTTCTGTGTCAGAAGGCTCAAGAAACATAATCAAATTTTGATTCAATAAGTTAAAGCTGATGATTCAGCAAGTTTTCCAATCTAGTTGCCTGCATGGTTTTTTTTTTCTTCTGTGTGACTGTTATTGAAATGTCGAGGAATGTGTCACAAGCAGGAATTGTTTTCTATTTTCAGGAATTTGAATCTATTTACCAGCAGTTTTTCCCGCATGGAAGTCCCAAGAAGTTTGCCTCATATGTGTTTAATATATTTGATACAAATAAGGTAATTTGAAATTTGATTATTTTCTATACAAGTTTAACTGGTTGTTTAACTATAATTATGACAAGTGTTATAAAGTAGCATCTCTACATATGAAATAAATCTGGTAATCATAAATGATTTTGTTATGATGATATTATTTACCTTTAAAAGCTTTTATAAATACATACATTTCACAAAATTTATTACCTCCCTTAGTTTCAATTTTATCTAATACATAGAATTCACAAAATTTATTACCTCCCTTAGTTTCAATTTTATCTAATACATAGAATTCACAAAATTTATTACCTCCCTTAGTTGCCATTTTGTTAGGGTCATGCATTACTTCCCCTGATTGCTATTTTGTCAGGGTCATGCTTTCTCAATGTATTCATTATATGCTTAAGATAGTTACAAATCTGAGTTTGAGATTATCTAAAACAATTCAATAATGTTTATATAACATACATTTGAACTTTTTTTGATGATCAAGTGGGAGATTTCTCTTCAAAAAGAGGGAAATTTTAGAATTTGCAATAAACAAAGAAGGAAATTCTGACATCAAAATAGGGAGATTTCTTTAATTTGTGAAAATACCCCTTATTCTAAGAAAAATCTTCGAAAATATGGCTGAAGAAAGTGTAAGTCTCCCACTAAAAGTGGGAGAGTTCACATGTATAATATAAACTAACAAAAACTTTTGTTATATTAGTAACTTAATAATTATATTATTTTCTTCACAGATGATAAAAAATTTATTAATTAATCTAAATAATATGAATGCATTTTAATTTTTTATTGGACGTTCTCTCAGATTTAAGATTTAAATTTTTTTTTATTTGTATTTCAGGATGGTATGATATCATTTAAAGAGTTTATTTGTGCCTTGTCTATAACCTCTAGAGGAACACTTGATGAAAAACTAGATTGTAAGTATTTTTGAAAATAAACAACATTGTAATCTAACACTATCAGATTCTGTTTCGAACCACAAGCATACATGTATGTTAGATATTTTTTCTTGCATATTCTACTATGTTCCATCATATTTTAAATTCTTTACCTTGGTAAAACAATTTTTTCCATGGAAATTTATGTCATATTTCAACTGAAACTATTTTCTTACAACAGCTTATGAAATTACAACTTCATTCATAAAGGCAAAATTATGTCATCCTAAGCTAGCAGTCTTATTCTTAAATACACCAAAATTATGTCATTAAATGATGTCATTTTAATGCCGTTCATTGATAGAATACGCTAAAATGACGCAATTGTATAGCATGTGACTCATCTGGCACCGCCCATGCCAGATGAAATTTCCGGTATGGGTGGGACTAACGGAAACACCAGTCTGATGTGCAAGAACTATCAAAGTATTTTTATACTCCAGGATTAGATTGGTAAAACCCACATTTGCAAAGTTCCCGCAAACATCTTTTCCGGGAATTATATTCCAGGGATTCATAATTCAAATTGACATGTTTTGCTTTATTCCAGGGGCGTTTAGCCTATATGATGTTGACAATGATGGGTTTATCACTCGTACAGAAATGATCGACATTATTGATGCTATTTATAGCATGGTCGGTAACCTAATCGACTTGCCTAAAGATGAAGACACACCGGAGAAACGGGCCAACAAAATATTTCAACAAATGGATATGGTAAACCCTGCTTTACTTTAATGACCTATCAATTTTTAATCATTGATTGACAGTTTTATCCTGCCAATCATTCTGTTTATTATATACTTATAAATGAAATATTGAGAAATATTGATAAAATAAAATGCGTATTTTCATTTTCCGTATTTTCACTGTAAAAATTTATTTATCACTGCAGTGAAACATATTTTCCGTATTTTCACTGGTGTGTTGCCGGACTAGTTTCTTTTAAATTCTGCCAGTACACAAAATTTCAGGGAAAGTCTTGCAAATTTTAATGTCAAAAAGCAGAAAAATGTATATAATAAACAAAAAATTCAAGTTCTTTCTATAAATACATGATTTATAATAATCTTGTGGCATGAAAATTACCATATTTCACTTGTGGCTACCGCCACTCATGAAATATTTATTTTCATACCACTCGATGAAAATAAATCATGTATTTAAAGAAAAAACTTGAATATCCTCTATATCTTTAATTAAAATATTTCAATGCACGCAGGAAAATGTAAGCACATGAGAAAATTCAAATCCTTGTAAAGGTTTTAACTGGAGCCATTTGGTATTCGACAGCTCCAGACCACTGAGCTTCCTGACACAGTGAAAGGTTTTAAAGGCCCATTATGCTTAAGAATTGCTATCATTTTTAATTCTCAAATTTTGTTTCATTGCAAAAGAAGCAAAGAGAATGGGCCTTTAAGGTTGTTTATATGAGATTTGAGATCCAAAAAAAAAATTGACACTTATAATTATTGTAGAATGGAGATGGAATGTTGACTGGTTACAAAATAAAAGAATTGTAATGTATTATCTGATAAAAGAATTGTAATGGATTATCTGATTGGTTCTCATACTTGAATTTGATTAGCTAATTTAAAATTATTGTAGAATCGAGATGGAATGCTGTCAAAAGACGAGTTCAGAGAGGGATCTAAGAGTGACCCTTGGATCGTGCAAGCCCTTACAATTGACACAGGACCACATATCCACAGCTGACAGCATTGCAATCTCATTCAGACATGTAAACTTAATGCTGATTGGTTGAATTGTAAAGTAGAATGAATTTGATTGGTTACACAATTTCGAATTTAGATTAAGATCATTGTATTGGATTATCTGATTGGCTCTCATCATTTTTAGCTGATTTTGAATAAAGAAGGTTGGATTTGATTAGCTAATTTTAAATAGAAATAGTCTATAAAAGTTTCTTAAATAAGTATAATGAAATTGTAACTGTATTATGTTAAGATATTTGCCTATATTACCCAGATTTTTATCAATACATGTGTATTATGAGTGTAATTGTTTTATTTTGATTGGATACATTGCTGGAACAGATTGTATGTTGTTGTACTTCTACTAGCCAAGAGGTCTTGTAGCAATTCAACTTTAAACAATTGTTTACAGATATACAATCAGGCTTAAACACTCTTGTCATTTAAAGCCACATGCCTCCAGATTCATGCTAATTTTCATGGAAATTTTGAAAATGTATCTAAAATTAAAATTTTGAATTGAGCAAAGAATGCCATTTAAAATAAATTTACACATTGCAAACAGTTCTTACCGTTCACGCATGTTACCAAAAAGAGGTCAAAATTAACCTGAACTTTGTTAGTCACACAGTAGAAATATGATGATAAATACTGCAAACATCATTCACTCATTGCAGATATCATGTATGTTGAATCTCTTTATTTTAACATTGTTCTCAAGTTTGAATTTCTTGAAAAATTTTGGCTCATCTGGAGGCATGCAGCTTTAAGTTTCCCTTCATCATTTACCATCTGTTAGAAGACTAAAAAGATTTGAACAATTTCCTAATGAAAAGGCCAAACACCAGGGTGCAGTTTTATCAACTTATTTTAGGACTGATACTTACGATACCTTAGAAACCCTAACTTTTGTGAATTATTACAAGGGACAATAAAACATGGTTTCATATTCCCTCAGTAAACAGCTTTAGAGGGACCGATTTTCCGTTCGTTTAAATGCGTTTAACAAACAGTAAACATACATTAAAAAGTAAATTTTCCCTTTGCATTATTAATATGTTGCTATGAAAAGCACATACATTGTATCTATAATTTACATCAATGCAAAGTGTAAAATACAGAAAAATTGATTATAATGCATGCAATTCTTCAAATGTTGTTGATATCGTTTTTCATCAGAAATTTTTAGGTATACAAGACTGTGAGGTTGTGATGCATTATGGAGTGCAATATTGAATCTCATTGGATGAGTAAAGAGCTATATTGGACAAGGGGGGAGGCAAGTCAAATATAGGTTTTGCTGCTGTGTATGAATCCAATAAAATAAGTATTATAGTCAAAAATGTATAATGACCTCTTTATTTCACACCACCATTTTTGATGTTTTGACAAGTTTTTGTTATTTCTAGTACAATAATGATTAAATATGACTTTTTGGACTCTAGAAAATGAAAACAAGGCAGATTGAGTACAATAGTGATTTGATATGGATTTTTTGGACTTAAAAATTGAAAATGAGGCGAAATTGGATCCAGTTATGATTTATATTTGGAGATCACATTGTGCAATCACTGGAATTTCATTGAATAGTCATTTTATCAGGTGTAAAATATCAATTGATTTCATTAACTCATTTTAAATTGTGTTCATATGATTTTAAGTATCATGGTTCTTATTGCCAAAATTAGTGGGTTTTTTTTCTATGTTTGAGACATTTCCATTTGCTTGAAGGATGCATTTTTGATCAGTTTTTAATAATTCTGTTCTGCCAAATTAAATGTTACTTGGTGCTTTTCTTATAGAACAAAACTCAGTTTAACATAGGTAAATTATTTATTGAACTATTCACCTTCACTGTATGCATGTAAATCTATTGATAAATTTGTATTCATCTAATATGTTTTGCTGCTGGAACTACATTTGTATGATTATAGAGTTAAAGGACATTTCTAAGAAATGAAAGTGATCACTATGTTGTAATTTCGTGCTGTCACGCTGTAGGGCGCCAGACAAAATCATGGAAATACAATCACTTTGTCATATATTTGTGTTTTTGCCTTTTGCTCTGTGGGACAGGAGGTGAAAACACAAAAATAAAACAAAGTGACCCATTTGTCATTATACTTTTGCTACTCTTGTTGCCACGCAAAACACTAAATTACGACAAAGTGATCACTTTATCGTACTTTCACTCAGCGGGGCACCAGGGGAAAAAATGAAAATACAACAGAGCTACTTTGTCAGTTTTTTTGTATGACAGTTTAGCTGAGGTCCCCTTGTTGGTGTTTTTTTTATTTCATATCCAATAAAAGTAGGTTTTTCACATATATAATTATATATACAGTTTAGTAAGTAACATTGAATACTGATAGGTATTGCATTGAGTATAGTAATATAAATATTAATGATGCATTATACACGCCTACATTTGTGAAATTTATTATACATTAAAGTACATGTATAAATTGTGTATAACCACAATGTTTTTGTTGTTTTAAGGTTATCCAAAGTGAACTTATCTGTATTTAAGTTAGTTGTTCATACTTGTTATTGCAAATTTTTAACCATGAGTGTTGTGCCTTTAAGATTTCCACTTCATTCAATTGTCTTGTAAATATTTACCCCAAGAATTTATGAATGTAACCTCTGTCATAATTCTTGCCTAAGACTGTAATGAATATTGTCCTAAAAAAGTCAAAGATTTATATATTCTGGAAAATCATTTTTATTTGTGGGGAATTAATTTTCATAGTTTTTCCTAAGGTCAGCCGCACATTTAAGATCCAATGAAAATTCTTTAAGACTGCTGTAAGAGTATTTTGCATTACTTTATTTGAATTTCACTTTTTTGCACAAATAGACAATCCCCAAATTTAAGAACTGTTGAATATGTCCTTTATGATAAACTCTCGAAATTTCATTCCAACAAAATTAGGTGAACAAATTTTATAGATTATTTCTGGATTCAGGATTTAATAGACTAACTAAATCTTTTAGATACAGGATATTTATAACCCTGACATTGCTAAATGGACTCATCTATCTTTTAAACTGGACAATAACATTCATCAAATTTATTGTTGATAAATTGCCGTAGAATTTCCATATAATTTCTTCAGTGTCAACGTTTACATAATGAGTTAAAATGAACTGAATCATCTAATAAGAACATTAAGGTCAGAATTGCTTTTGTAGTTTTCTATGTACTATTAATCACCTCTAAAGTTTTTTTCTGTGAAAATTCTTGTTCTTTTCATTGAACTTTAACATACAGGCTTTTCACTCAGGCGACCTCCTTCTAAACAGTTCATAGGCACAGTTCTATATTTGATAAAATTATCTAACTTGGACCTTGGGTCAAATAATTGAATATGTTTATAAAATCAATTGATTACATTGTTTATATAAGAACATACATAGGTGATTTAACAATGTCAAATCATCCTGTTGTTTTAAACACTGTATGTATTTTTACACCTTGCTTTTCTAACACATGAACATTTTTAAGTGGCTTTATATCATGATTTTATTTGGTTTGTTCATACTTCATATAAATTGTATTTCATTTATTTGGACCTTGTTTAGTGTAATTTGAGTAAGATCCAATTTTATTAAACTTTCAGAAGAAATAAATTCAGTCTTCATTGAATATGTTTGAAATTAGAAAAAGGTCTTGCCACACTCTTGTAAACCATTTGTAAAGATATGAGATTAAAACTTTGTGTGTTCATTATTAAAAGGTTGTGAAATCTATAAAAGAAGCTTTTTTATACATTTTTGTAGATATATATATATTGTTTGATTTACTTTTGTTAGTTTCATTGTTATTATTAGCTGGATACTATATAAGCACAAGTATAAGACGCGTTCTTGATTTTGAGTCTTATAGAACTAAGTAGAAAGTTTGTCTTATAGCTGAGTATTTAGATTAAACATGTACTTTTGGGGAATTTTAAAAATGCTTTGTATGGTCAAACCTGTCCTGAAAGGTCAGCTAGAGAATATAAAAATAATGGCCTCTCAGGAAGTGGTTTTTAAAGTCAGTTCTGCATTTGTAAAAAAATTATCTTTAAAGAACAATCTCAAATGTCTATGGGAAGAAAGAAAAAAAATAGTGAATACAATTTGAATGGATCTTTTTTTTTTATATACATGTATGTACAACCAGTTCAAGCAAGGTACAGTCAAGCCTGTTTGCAAAGACCATTCTGAAGATGTAGGGAGTTGTCTTTCCTGACAACTGATTTATTTAAAGTGACATGCCTCCAGATGAAAAAAAAAATTTATGATTTGCAAAGGTAAAGAAATATATAAAAATTCATAATTCAGCTGAAAAGTTTAAATGAATTATGCAAAATATGAAAGAGTTTACTTTAAGTATTTTATCATCAATTTTTTTACCCAAATTTTTGCCCTGTAAACTGATAGAGGAAGAAATTTGCATGTTTTTTCTTTGTGACGGTAATTTTGGGGCGTTTCCTTGTTTTAACATTTGACATTTTTGGGGATAGTGATAAAAGTTTTCAATTTAATTTTAAAAAAAATCTGGAGGCATGCTGATTTTACAGGTTCTACTGTAGTGAAGGAGGAAATAATTGAAACATTGGCCTATTGTGAAAAAGTTTTTTTTATATGTGGCCTTATTCTATTTTAAATCAGAGGTGGTCTTTCAAACAGGGTTTCACTGTATTTGTTTGAACAGTATTATGCTACTGATATTGTGTATTGTGCTCTTTTACCAATAAACATTCCTAACAAAACAATTTTGTTCATCATGATATTCCTCTAACAGAAGAATACAATGTTTCTCCTGTGCCCGAATACTAGACCTATGCAGAACATTATTGAAATGATCGAGTCCTTTTCCTTATTTATTGTGATGATTTGCTTATATGAACCAAAAAGTATGTTGGGTTAGCCAGTTCAGCCCTAAATGAGCCTCCATTGCATAGTTCTAGCCAGTGTCAGGCCCTACTGGCCTAATATAAATGAGCCTCCTTTGCATGCATTGTTTCAGCCTCTCTAGTGACCTAAATGTGTTTTCTTTTGGATAACATGTGATGTTTAAGTAATCCAAGGGTCACTGGTTCGAACATCGGACAACGCATAATTTCTCAAGACAATTGATGTTGAACATCGAGTTTAGTGGTCATTTGTCTCACACCATGGATTCATACGTCATGTGACATCAGTAGTCCTTCACTTGCAGAAAATTAGTTATTACTGTTAGTTATTCAGCTAAGTTGGACACCAATATAGGATGCCAAAAAATGTGTTGAAATCAGTATAAAACCAGACAGAAAGACAAACATGAACCTACAACAGACAAGTGCCAAGCTATTCTCTGGCAACAATCTTAACCATTCTGGCCAATGTCCATTTCAGGTTTGGTAATAATTGGCGAATTAAATAATGTGACATTCAATTTAACAAGCCGACCCTTAACGCTACCCTGGGGCAATTTGCGGAATACCTGAGATACATGCAGAGTTTTTTATTACCCTGCCTTCCAACAGCAAGATCAATGCAGTGGTTTTAACAGCACAGGAAATGATCCACATGCAGTGTGTGGGCATTTAACACTGAATTTGCCATCTTTATCATATGTTTGAAAGAATGTCCCAGCTGGAGTTACTAATGAACTAAAATAAAAAAGAAAATCATCATTTCAACATGTATTTAATTACAGAACAAGCAGTATAAAATGGTTCTATAACATGTACAAAAAATAATTCTTTCTTCATTTTATGAAAACAATAAACACTAAGCTATATATGACAAACATTCCCTGTATTATTGAACTAGTGACATCAGTAACACATTTCAGCCACTATCTGTATACAGGATATTGAATGGGTGTAGATTTAATACTAAATTTATTGAACCAGTTGATTAAAATAATATAATATGAGCCTCTGTATTAAATCTACACGAATATAATATTTTATTTATCAAATATCCAAAATAAGAATGGTTAACTGGTTTACAGTAAAAAAAAAAAAAAAAGGTGATTTTTTTATTGACATGCCAAGCCTAATGCTAAAATTAACTTCGTTTGTATGAAACACAAATGACGTCACATCAAATTGTTATAACACTAATGTAATATTGTTACTTTTTTCAATTAATTGCTTTTATTACGTCCCTATGACCAATGGTTATCTGATAAAGTCAGCAACTTCAACCATTCGGCAACAATGACATTAAAGTATACTTATTTCTATGAATAAAGAAATATATCTTACAAATTCACATTATAAAACTTTCTATATTTTTTAGCACAAAAATCCTTTCAAGACAATCAATTATTACTGTCAACAGAAACATCAAAATTATACACTATTCTTTTCACCTTTGGTGAGTGAACAAATGATACAATAACAAAATATTTTTGACTTTAAATCAAAATAAGTTTTAAATCTTTTAAATAATTGTTAGCTGGAAGGCATACATAAATTTACCAATCAAAGGACACTAATCCTTTAATGTCACCATTTCCAGTATACTGCTTTTTTGTCTGGGGATAATTGTTCCATATCATTAATAATAAATTGCATTAAAATCTGCAAAGTAGATTATTTCAGGTTTTGATTTTTACCGGGACATAAATCATCTCCGGGGCACACACCTGATTTCCGGGACAGTCCCCGACGTCCAGGACATTATGGCATGTATGCATTAACATTACTTTACTTTTCACAATCAAATTATTTCCAGTAGTTTGGTAACATGACCTTTAACATTAAAGGCCCATTAAGCAAAAAGAGTTTTCATTTCCCAAGTTTGATGTGCCTTGGTAATGAATTTTCTGAAAATTAAGAAAATGCACAAAGTTACAGAGAGAGTTAATTTTTGGATCATGCTGTGAAACTTGTTTTTCACAATAAAAACAGCATAGTTTTTAACATGAACACCTACTTCTGTACATGTTTTTGGTGAATTTGCATAATTTCTAGATAATACACCAGTCAAAATTATGGAATTTCACTTAAAATGTTTATATCGATCAGAAGTTATCAAATTTAAGCCTACAATATAAACAAGGTGACCTTTTTGAAGGAGGCAATTTTGATTAAAAAATAATCAAAGGGCCGTAATTTGAATAAAATTTGGTTAACAGTCACTATAATACTAGGGGCCCTCAGTGGAATGTATGTGTATTAAATTATTAATAATTTAATATATAATGATTACTATAAATTTCCCCTATGGGGACATGATTATAAATGTACATGTATATGGCAAAATAGTAAAGGTAAAAATAAAAATATACGTAGAATACAAAAAATATCTGCAACAATTTTAAACACATTACAAATGTGTAAACAAAATGAGCCGCGCCACAACAAAACCAACATAATGGGTTTGCGACCAGCATGGATCCAGACCAGACTGCGCTTCAGCAGTCTGATCGGGATCCATGCTGTTCGCTTACCAACCCTATTACAAGTAGAAAAACTGATAGCGAACAGCGTGGATCCTGATCAGACTGCGCGGATGCTGGTCGCAAACGCATTATGTTGGTTTTGTCGTGACGTGGCTCAAATGTAAAACCGGATTTCTACATGAATACATTCGTTAAAGCTCCTCGTGCTTTTTTGCTGGAGGGAAATCCCAAAATTTTGTTGGTTTGTTATTTACGTCTCTTTCTCGTTTAACGAAAGCTGTGAACGTAGATATACAGTTTCCTATAAAATAATCGGAGGCACCTAAGACTGCTAAATCGACATGGGGATGGGGCGGCTCGTGCTTCACAAATTTTACCTGAAATTTACAAGATATTTTTGAACAATATGCTCTTTTCTCTTGTTTATTTAATATATGAACATGCAAATGCATCAAACCAAATTATTCATTGCTCAAAGATAAAAGGTGGCTACTACCACATTCTCTCCAGATTGTTTGACTCAAGTTCATGACCACTGTTTCATTTTTGTTTGTCTTTTAAGAATTTAACAAATGCCTTTTTATGCAGTCCTTGACCTTGGACAAAATAATCGAACATCCCGAGTAGGTAGTATTATGCACTATAGTTCTGCACAAAATATCTTAGGAATCTGTAAATAAATGAAAGTACTATGGGCATGACAGAATTATGGAAAGGCAAACTCAAGCCGTTATAAGGGCACAGCATAAACTTTTCTGGTTCAAACTGTCCAGTTAGCTCAAAAGGTAGAGCGTTGGATTGTGAATCAGGCAACCTGGGTTCGTTTCCCAAAACATTGATAAAAAAACCAACTCAAAAAGCATATTCGCATAACATTGACAAACTTACCTTTTCAAATTTTTTGGATAATTTACTTTTAAGATCTTTGCTATCAGTTGCTATAAATACTGTTGTACACCCTGTTAAATATATAAAAAAGAAAGACATATATCATATAAAGCATAGAAAGTAATTAATTGTCATCTGGCAAAACTTTATACTGTTTGCTAAATGATTTTGATATTTCAATGTTGAAATGTCATAAAGGGACTCCCCTGAAATTTGACACAAGACTGAATTTTTTTTTTTCGTAAATTTTTGTACTTGATGCCTTGACTAATAACTGCTATGCAAAATGTTACTCATTCAATGTGTTTTTCCAGAAGTATTATTTTAATTCTGTAAAATGACCTACAATGTAATACGTTTGAACTCTTCTGCCACAAAATGGGATAAGAATCCAACTAAAATGTATTTTTCTATTTTATTAGGAGGATATTTCTGTATAACATGTATTATAACTATAATATATCATATACAGTATTTGTCCATTTGAATGTTGTTTTGTTTGCATGATTCGAGCATTATACCTTATGAATTGAGTAATTTTGTCACCTCAAAAGAGTTGTTCCTTTAAAATATCCATAGCAGTTTCTAATTTAAAGTTTGGCAGGAATCGAACAAACAGAGCATGTGAATGAAATATCTTTAATAATAAACTATGTTTGTTTTTATAATTGTTTGCTTTTAAACAAAAGAGTTAATAAATGCCCATTGCATGAAATTTTTCCTTACCATTTTTCGTCATCACTGTTATGAAATATTTCTGTTATGTGACAACAGCATAGAGTTAGGCATGGACATCTGCTTCTGTATATGTTTTGGGTGAATTTCCATAATTTCTACACATTAATTATACCCACGCACAACAAAGTTGTAAGGGGGGTATACTGGAATCAGCTTGTCCGGCCATCCGGCTGTCCGTCGGTTTTTTCTTGTCCGCCCAATAACTTAAGATTCCCTTGACCCTTAGTCTTCATATTTGGCATGGAGGTTAGTCATGATTAGAAGATGACCCCTATTGATTTTTAGGTCACTAGGTCAAAGGTCAAGGTCACAGGGGCCTTGACTTCAAAAAGCTTGTCCGCCCAATAACTTAAGATTCCTTTGACCCATAGTCTTCATATTTGGCATTGAGGTTAGTCATGATTAGTAGATGACCCCTATTGACTTTGAGGTCACCAGGTCAAGGTCACAGGGGCCTTGACTTCAAAAAGCTTGTCCGCCCAATAACTTAAGATTCCTTTGACCCACAGTTTTCATATTTGGCATGGAGGCTAGTCATGATAAGTAGATGACCCCTAATGACTTTGAAGTCACCAGGTTAAAGGTCAAGGTCACAAGGGCCTTGACTTCAAAAAGCTTGTCCGCCCAATAACTTAAGATTCCTTTGACCCACAGTCTTCATATTTGGCATGGAGGTTAGTCATGATGAGTAGATGACCTCTATTGACTTTGAGGTCACCAGGTCAAAGGTCAAGGTCACAGGGGCCTTGACTTCAAAAAGCTTGCCTGCCCAATAACTTAAGATTCCTTTGACACACAGTCTTCATATTTGGCATGGATGTTGATCATGATTAGTAGATGACCCCTTTTGATTTTGAGGTCACTGGATCAAAGGTCAAGGTCATAGGGACTTTGACTTCAAAAAGTTTGTCCACCCATTAACTTAAGATTCCTTTGACCCACAGTCTTCATATTTGGCATGGATGTTGATCATGACTATAAGGTGACCCCTATTGATTCTGAGGTCACTGGGTCAAAGGTCAAGGTCACAGGGACCTTGACAAAAAAAAGTTTTTCTTCTCAATTGCTTAAGAATGTCCTGTCCGCAATGTATTGATTTTGACATTTTGACATTTGAAGCATGTAGAATACATAACTTAGCAATGCACTGGCTTAGTAACCTCAGATTTGGCAGGGAGGTTGTCCTTGAGCTCTAAATGGCCACTGTTGATTCTGACAAAGTGGTATGCGGGGGTATTCACGCCATGATAGTGGCAGTTCTAGTTTAATAAGTCAAAATCATCAATTTTTTTTTAATTGTGTATAAATTATTTATCCATAGAAAAATATTGACTATACATGTACATCGATATTGTTTCTATTGATGACAGCTCTGGCATCATATCAAATATTATCCAAAAAAAAACAACAATATATGAGATTTTCCCAAAAGCATCATATTACCCCACTCTTACCAGTATCTTTTATAACTTTTCCTAGATCTCTGACAATAGTATCCTCGGATTGGTAACACATCTCTTGTGAAGCTTTCCCATGCTCGTTCCTATATCCTAGACACTGTACAGCAGCAAACATGTTCGGACTTTTGTCAATATGTCTACAAGCATTCTCCTATAAAAATTACAAATTGTTTTTTTTTCCAATTGTTCCTCTTTCAAATTTTCAATAAATTCAAGTCAAATATGTTCACTAACAAGAGCTGTCAGTAGGATAGCCTGCTCGACAATTCTTAGTGCATGATAGTTAAACAAGAGGCTGGATAATGCATAATTTTTCTTAGTTAAAAAAGGGCAATAATTCTGTTAAAATCCATGTTTGAGTTATGGGCCTAGGACAGTGATGTCTTATTATACTCTTTAACAAGTGTGTGTAGTTTTAAGTTTCAAATCATTCCCTTCAGTAGTTTTGGAAACACCGACTTACATGCAAAACTTAACCAAAAGTGTGGCAGTGATGCTGGAGTGAGTACAAAACTAATTTCTCCCTATTTATCCAAAAGTCCAGCTAAAAACAGACAAATGTCCTTGATGTATAATGTTTATACATAGAGGATATTCAAGTTTTTTCTATAAATACATGATTTATTTTCATCGAGTGGTATGGAAATAAATATTTCATGAGTGGCGGTAGCCACGAGTGAAATATGGTAATTTTCATGCCACAAGATGAAAATAAATCATGTATTTATAGGAAAAACTTGAATTTTCTGTTTATTATATACATTTCCTCTTTTTTGCGATAAAATTTGAAACACTTTCCCCTTAAATTTTGTGTACTGGCAGAATTTAAAAGAAAGTAGTCCGGCGAGACACCAGTAAAAATACGGAAAATATGTTTCACTGCAGTGAAAAATAAATTTTTACAGTGAAAATACGGAAAATGAAAATATGCATTTTATTTCATCAATGTTTCTCAATATTTCATTTATAAGTATATAATAAATTGTCTATATTCCTGTCTATAGGAATATACAGCAAATAAATTAGAAAAAAAAATCCTGCTATGTATGGAATTTCAAACCCCGGTACTGAAGCCGGCAAATAAAAATAAACACAACATTCTCTACTAATCAGCCCAGCAACTCATTTCCTGATGCAGTATTCAAAGAAACGAAACCCTGAATGTGTACTCATCCGTAACACTTACAAAATCTGACCCAAGTCGTAGATGGATACCAATAAACTTCTTATCTCCAATATAATCTTTAATAAATTTATCTCTTTGTCCGGCAATGTTTTCTGACCATTTAATATACTTCTGTAGACCAACATTTTGCTGCTGAACTGGGAAAGTTGCTGGGGCACCAGTAAATGCTAGAACAGGCCAATCCTTTCCAGGATACCTGCGGAAAAAAAACAACAACAAATTAATATATGAAATACATGGTCTTTGTTAAGCTTCTTCTCTGAGTATTGAATTGACCCTTTACCATACATCAAAGCAGTATCATAATTCTTGCAGAATCAGAATTAAGGACTGCAAACAATCATTCATCAAATATTTGGTTACTTATGTCAGGGTCTTTCAAAAAGACAGTACTCCAGCAAACATGTTCAAACTTAAGGCAATATATCTACATGCATTTTTCTATAAAACAAGAGCTGTCGGTAGGACAGCAACGCTCGACTATTCTTAGTGCTTGATAGTAAAAAAGCCTTGATAATGTAAAAGTTTCTAAGTAAAGAAAAGGGTAAAATTTTTCTTTAAATCCATATTACAGGTATAAGTCTTCGAGAGAGTCCTATTATGCTCTCAAAGAAGACTATAAAATTTCAACTTGTCAATGGACTTTGAAAATATTTCAGGTATTACAAAAACTTTAACGTAAATTCTAAGTTGAAAAAGGGGCATAATTCTGTCAAAATGTTTGATACAGTTACCTCCTCCTGTCTACAAGTTGGGGTCATGATGATGAATAAGTGTGCAAAGTTTTAAAGCCCATTTGTCAATGGACTTTGAAAATTTTTGAGGTATTACAAAAACTTTAACGTAAATTCTAAGTCGAAAAAGGAGCATTATTTTGTCAAAATGTTTGATACAGTTACCTCCTCCTGTCTACAAGTTGGGGTCATGATGGTGAACAAGTGTGCAAAGTTTCAAAGCCATATGTCAATGGACTATGAAAATATTTGAACTATTACAAAAACTTTAACGTAAATTCTAAGTCGAACAAGAGCTGTCGGTAGGACAGCATGCTCGACTATTCTTAGTGCTTGATAGTAAAAAAATGCCTGATACAGTTACCTCCTCCTGTTTACAGGTTGGGGTCATGATGGTGAACAAGTGTGCAAAGTTTCAAAGCCATATGTCAATGGACTTTGAAAATATTTGAACTATTACAAAAACTTTAACGTAAATTCTAAGTCGAAAAAGGGGCATAATTCTGTCAAAATGCTTGATAGAGTTACCTCCTCCTGTTTACAGGTTGGGGTCATGATGTTGAACAAGTGTGCAAAGTTTCAAAGCCATATGTCAATGGACTTTGAAAATATTTGAACTATTACAAAAACTTTAACGTAAATTCTAAGTCGAAAAAGGGGCATAATTCTGTCAAAATACTTGATAGAGTTACCTCCTGCTGTCTACAGGTTGGGGTCATGATGTTGAACAAGTGTGCAAAGTTTCAAAGCCATATGTCTATGGACTTTGAAAATATTTGAACTATTACAAAAACTTTAACGGAAATTCTAAGTCGAAAAAGGGGCATAATTCTGTCAAAATGCTTGATAGAGTTACCTCCTCCTGTCTACAGGTTGGGGTCATGATGGTGAACAAGTGTGCAAAGTTTCAAAGCCATATGTCAATGGACTTTGAAAATATTTGAACTATTACAAAAACTTTAACGTAATTTCTAAGTCGAAAAAGGGGCATAATTCTGTCAAAATGCTTGATAAAGTTACCTCCTCCTGTCTACAGGTTGGGGTCATGATGGTGAACAAGTGTGCAAAGTTTCAAAGCCATATGTCAATGGACTTTGAAAATATTTGAACTATTACAAAAACTTTAACATAAGTGGTTACGCCGACGCCGACGCTCGGGTGACTGCAATAGCTCTACTTATTCTTATCGAATAGTCGAGCTAAAAAGGAGCATTATTTTGTCAAAATGCTTGATACAGTTACCTCCCCCTGTCTACAGGTTGGGGTTATAATGGTGAACAAGTGTGCAAAGTTTCAAAGCCATATGTCAATGGACTTTGAAAATATTTGAGGTATTACAAAAACTTTAACGAAAATTTTAAGTCAAAAAAGGGGCAAAATTCTGTCAAAATGCTTGATACAGTTGCCTCCCCCTGTCTACAGGTTGGGGTCATGATGGTGAACAAGTGTGCAAAGTTTCAAAGCCATATGTCAATGGACTTTGAAAATATTTGAGGTATTACAAAAACTTTAACATAAAGTGGTTACGCCGACGCTGATGCAGACGCCGACGCTCGGGTGACTACAATAGCTCTACTTATTCTTATCGAATAGTCGAGCTAAAAATGGCAATAAATTGCCTTAAAGTGAGTGGCACATGCACAAAGTCATTGCTTAATGGATAAATCCCTACTTAAAATAGCAAAATAATATTTTGTTCTGGAACATTTCATTCTGTTTTTATTACATTTTTCATGTGTATTAAATAACAGAGACATTCAGTTACAACTTTTTCAGGAATCAGCCATATAATAATGGAAGCAATATATTTTTACTGGTAATAAATTTACAAAAATATTTCATAAGATATAGATTTATACCCTTTAATTCATTATGTAATGTTGAATAACTTTACTTGTACACCAGGCAACATTTTTACACATTTGAACAATTTTAAGTTTTCCTAAAAAAATAAAACATTTTTTTCACAAACTGTAAACTAACCTGTCTTTCCATCTGTTTATTTCACTAGGTGAAGTATCATGGAATAAAGGTTGGTAAAATTCTGATTTGTCAAATTCCACATCAAATGTATCCCAAAATGGACCAAAAGGATTCCCTTCTTTAGCATTGCAATCATTTTCTTTAGCACCATAAGTCCTTGCTTGATAACACAGAACTGAAAAATAAAAACCACACAAACTTGTATATAAGTCTTATTTTCTTTTCAGTTCTATAGATAGTAATGTCATACACCCCGTCTAATAAACGAGTCAAACCATAGAAATGATATGAATATCATAGCAAAAAGGTGTGAAATACCAATGAATTCTTTTCAAACCGTACCTTGTAAATTTCCTCATCGAAACAAATAAATTCTTACCATAACTTCACTTAAATCCATGTGTAAATGGATATTTTTAGAGGACTGTACGATTCTGTGTTGCTATAAAATGGGCAACAATGATGAACTGAGTTAAAAACCTCCTAATGAACATCATTCAATATAATACTGACAATGGAACATACATGTAGGTAAATATGTCAAGTCAGTGAATGTGCTAACTGCATTAAAGTAAATTTAAGAAATTAAGACTATAAAATGCTTTTGCATTACTTTGAATTCATTAAGCAAATCAAGTAAACCTATAAAAAGTTCAAGTCCTAGTGGTCTAAAACACAATTTACTGGTATCAGCCACAGCTTCAGGTCATTAGGATATGATGGCTGTCAAATACCTTCCTGGTTTATTGGCTGAGTGGTTAAAGTTACTGACAGCAAATCACTAATTCCTCACCACTGTGGGTTTGAATCTTGCCAGAGACTTTTTCCTGTGATGAAGCTATCCACTCAGCTTATTGAAGGACCAGGGTTTAAGCTAACCCCGGTAGCCCAGCCCCACTCATGTCTGAAATAATGGACCAGTAAAGCTAGAAGGTCACCATCTGACCTGCACAGCGTCAGAAGGTCACTATCTGACCTGCACAGCGTCAGAAGGTCACTATCTGACCTACACAGCGTCAGAAGGTCACTATCTGACCTACACAGCGTCAGAAGGTCACTATCTGACCTACACAGCGTCATAAGGTCACTATCTGACCTACACAGTGTCAGAAGGTCACTATCTGACCTACACAGTGTCAGAAGGTCACTATCTGACCTACACAGTGACAGAAGGTCACTATCTGACCTACACAGTGTCAGAAGGTCACTATCTGACCTACACAGTGACAGAAGGTCACTATCTGACCTACACAGTGTCAGAAGGTTCACTATCTGACCTACACAGTGTCAGAAGGTTACCATCTGACCTACACAGCGTCAGAAGGTTACTATCTGACCTAAACAGCGTCAGAAGGTTACCATCTGACCTACACGGTGTCAGAAGGTCACTATCTGACCTACGCAGCGTCAGAAGGTTACTATCTGACCTACACAGCGTCAGAAGGTTACTATCTGACCTACGCAGCGTCAGAAGGTTACCATCTGACCTACACAGCGTCAGAAGGTTACTATCTGACCTGCACAGTGTCAGAAGGTCACTATCTGACCTGCACAGTGTCAGAAGGTCACTAACTGACCTACACAGTGTCAGAAGTCAAACAAAACAAAATGCAAACCTGCTCTCTTCCCAACAGGCCATACTTCATCAGCTAAATGTTTAAAGAAATATTCCATGGTAATCACTCTATGGAATTCCTTTAATGGTTCCACTTGGAAATATGTGTCAAAAGGGACTTGTACCTAAAATGATTGAATTATAAATAATTGAGCCGTGTCACGACAAAACCAAAATAGTGCATTTGCGACCAACATCAAAACAGTTTGATCAGGATCTATGCTGTTCCCTTTCAGTTTCTCTACATGTAATAAGGTGAAAAATAATGCAAAATGGGTCATAACATGGAAATTATTACTTTTATCTTGAATCTTTTCACTTTTCTTAAAATCTCAGTACTTCTTTTGTCTCAAGTTTGATTGTCTAGAAATATTTTAGTTCATCTGGAGGCATGCAGCTTTAAAGTTTTCTCACATTACTCAGAATTCTAAATGGATCAACTTAGTGGCATAGTATTTATATAAGAGGAATCTTACAGATCTTGGTGCTGGGAAACGGAACTCAACCCAGGGTGGAAGAACCAATGTCCTATCTAATGCCTTAGCAAACCTGATTGCTCCCAGAAAATGGTCAGCCTGGTTACCAAACCTCCCTGAAAATAGAGCAACTTCTATGATATGTAATTTCTTTCAAGCCTGTTGCCAAAATATTTTATTTATTATCTATTTATAGTAACATGTGACAAAAATTTCATCGTTTTGAGTATCATTTAGATATTTCTTAACAAGAATATTATATTCAGTTTAGAAATGAAACCAGGCAATAAATCTGTATTTTCATGAACCAAACTGGCAGTGCTTTTCTTCTGTAAATTATGGTTTTATAGAATAACTTTTATAATTTTTTTCAAATATTTTCATTTAATGTTTTACTTTCATGAATTAAAGTTAATGCAAAATGTTTCAAGAACAAAATTTTCAAAAAATTCTTTCCTGCAGGGCCCTTATTTCCTTGACTGGGGCTCGAATGTAGGGGACTTTTGTTTTGTCTTCAAGCAAAACGTTGGTCAACTCATAAGTGTTACATATTCTCTTTTGCAAAAGGTAAATTCATAAAATAATAGATAGATTTAAAAGTGATTAAAAGTATGGCTTTAGACACTCACTCACTATATTACAGGGGATTGTGGCTGGGACCTTTAGATTAAGAGATTTTTTTCTGTAACGGAATTTTTATAAAAATAGGAGGAAAAATATATTTCAACTCAGGAGGGGATTTTTTCAGCCCAAAAAATATGAAACTAGGTCAGATGAGGCTAAAACTATCATTTTATTATTTAATTTTACTCATGAAATATGGTGCTATATCAGTTAAATTTCATATTTTTTAAAAATAAATATGAAATATAAATATGAAAGTGGGCAGAGTCAAAACTCATATTTATTTTAAGGGACTTCTTTCGCCATTTTGTTTGAAAAATCTGATAAATACAAAACGACTTTTGTTCAATTTTGTTTTGAAAACTATCTAGAATGAAAGAAAATGGTCTAACTAAGAAAATAAATCAGAACACCAATATCTTTAATTCAGTCATTAATGCTGTAGAGACGTTTAAAGAGTTGTTTACGTGACGTCAAAATGTAGCGCTAAATATCGCATGCAAAAGAAGACAATAATTATATTACTGTGCGCTGTACAATTGCAGTTGCGTAGCAAGCAGGGGTGTTCGTATTCATTTTTCTTTGATAATGAAATTAAATAAAAAGGTTATTTTTTTGTTTTTCGTGAAATATGGTATATATTTTTACTCAACATGATAAAATGCCACATATTTTTACTCGCCGCCCCAGCTCGTGAAAATATGTGGCATTTTATCATGTAGAGTGAAAATATATACCATATTTCACTCAAATGAAAAAATATTCTCTCAATATTTAGGATGCTGGAAATTGAACAAACATAACTTGAATTTATTCCTTACCCATACATGGACAGTACATCACATAGCCATTTTGATCCACTGTTATCTCAGCTTGAATAGATATAGCTGATCCCAGGAGTAAAAACAGTATCTGTATCATATCCGCCATCACTCAGGCTCTGTAAAACACAATACATATAATCAGTATGTATAAATAAATCCTAGAAGTTAGAACACAACATAATCTACAGAGGTGTATACCCTAGATGACTCAATGTTGCATCTTGAAATTCAAAATTATGGCTGTTACACTTGATTAAGTATGTATTTTAGTCATTCCTGCAAGTGAAAACAAACAAGGCAGAAGCGTTCAAGATATGATGAAGATAAGTTAAATTAAGTTGAAAAGATTGTATGATGCGAGACTTGGCACACACTGACCTCATTCAAATGTGCAATCTGCAAAAAATTATGCACGACTTGCGCGGCCTATATGTAACACTGTGACTTGGCTTCTGATTCTAATTTTCACATATAAAATGAACATTTGAAATTTTTCATAGAAGCCGTTAAGCTGGAGCAGTTTATCTGTTTGTCTCACAGTGTATGGACACTAATTCTAACACAATTTTGCTCATTTTGTATCTTGGCAATCAGTCAACTTAACCTGCTTCCAGGATAACTAACCACTATTTACCAATGTCTCTACAATTAATACTTCTGGCTACCAAAACTTTATAAGCCAATTTTTAACATTATTGTTTTTCAGCTGATGCGGCACTACAGTTTTGGATCAGACCCATTATGAAACCTAACCAGAATAATATATGTTAATTTTTCATTTGCAAATATCCTTGTACCAATTAATTCTTGTGCATTTTGGATAAAACAAATATTTTAATCTTGTTCAACTTCTATACCATTTAAAGTATCAAAATATTAATATTTAACTGTGAAACATCAATTTACCCGACTTCAGTCATCCATGACATTAAGGAGCTACCAGAGATCTTGTATAACATACTATATTTATTAGATAAAACGTCAATTTTTTCTGAAGAAGACTAAACGTCGAAAGCTTAAGAAAAGCGTTTGTTTTTATTGAACTGATTTTATATTAATACTATATTTAGAACATCTTTGTTGACATAATTTCAATAGTTATAATTCAAGATAATATTTTTTAAATTTTATCTATTTTCTTTAATTTTTCAGTAGATCTACATAAATGAAATTATATTGAATTCAAAAGTCAGGAAATCATCTTTTTCAATATCTTTAAAAAAATCATTTATAAAAAATTTTGAAGCACATAGGTTTTGTTTTCTTAACAGTCCGTGCAAATTAACCTGTAAAGGTCAATCTAGTTATCACATGGTCAAACATTTTGGCAATATGGCAGCCAAGTGATAAATTATTTACCTGTCGGAAACTATAAGGTAGCGGGTAGTTAATGTTCATAGTAAAGTTTTTTATCTTATCAACGGATTATACATAGTTTTATCGGGGTATGCTATACTTTACTTCATGGCATGTTTGATGAATGATTACTAGCGTGTCAGATTCCTGGCACAATTATTGATGGACTTTCCCTAAGGGTCTGTCTTCAGTGTTCACATTATGTCATAGCCAGCTCGAAGTACAAAGCGAGCTTTAAAGTAACTCGAGTACCTCCTTAGTCCTAGATACTGATGGTTTTAAAAAACAATGTTAAACTTAGTTCTGGCTTCCATAACTTTATATGTCGCTTTTATTTTGACGTTGTGCGACAGTTCTAGCAGTACCATAAAACCTGTTCACTGAAGTATCTTTAGCTATGTTAAACTATACTATTTATACCACATACATGTCTTTCTGAATAAGCTGCGACAGATAAATGATTAATATGAAAAAGGCAAAGCCTCATTTACTCGATTTACTTTTACTGTGAAATAGTACAAAATAATCTTTCATTTTTATTTTACATTTTCCGTTTTAAAATTGTCATTAGGTATTTTATACACTGCTTCCACTTATTTTGGTTCCCTGTCCAATTATGGTTCCCAAATAAGTATGCAGGACACCAGTCTACGCTTCCATTTTCAATCAGATTACCTCAGTTTTCTTATATCTTGTAATTTGAAAAGTAAAGATTTGTCAATTCAGTACTTCTGAAACCAACACTATCTAGCAGGTTCTCGCCTTACCCTAAAGCTAGCTTTGTGAACAGGCCCTTCAGGCGATCTCTTCGAGCTCGATTATATGAAAAAGGCAAAGCCTCAAAGCGAGCTCGATTTACTTTAACCGTTAAATAGTATAAAATAATTGTTTATTTTCATTTTACATTTTCCGTTTAACAATTGTCCGGTATTTTATACACTGCTTCCACTTATTCTGGTTCCCTGTCCAATTATATATGGTTCCCATATAAGTGCGCAGGACACCAGTCTATGGTTCTGTTTTCAATCAAAATACCTCAGTTTTTATCGTTATCTTGTAATTCGAAAAGTTGCAATGTGTCTGTTCAGTATTTTGGAACCATCAATATCTAACAGGTGCTCGCGTTACCGTAAAGCTCCCTTTATTTTATGTATTTTTTCAGGAGTAAAACTCATATATAATACACTAAAATATACTCCTGGTTTAGACCCCGGGGTCTAATCCAGGATATAGCCGATCAATTGTCAATTGTCGACCTAAAGGTTTATTTTTTATTTGAGGATTCAAATTTTTAAAAATAAAAATCAACTTCTGTTAGGTCCTTACTGGTTGGGGACCACCAAAACCGGACAACCACCAAACCCGGACGGCCCTGAAAATGCTTAAATTAGTATTTTCTTTGTTCAGTGCTTGTCAGTCACTATTTTATCAACAATAAGTTCATTTTTCTTTTAAAATTATGTAAATAAATTAATTTCAACCTCCGTAAATGGTAATATTTTAATGTCTATTTCAAGATGTCGATGTTGAAATTCGGGGGTCAAGAAAGCAATGCCTGGCCTCATATACCAGCTATAATCATTTGCAGAGTGAATAATAGAATATCCAAAACTTCAGCATTTGTTGCTGACATATTGTATATCATGTTACAAATCAAAAATCAAAACACCCAAGCTTTTATCTGAATTAAATCACATCATGTACATATCTGTCCGGACACATGGTACTGTAGTGTAGACAATTTAGGTAATTTTGATACCCTCCTTGTCGAGCCTCAGATATAAGTGTCAATACAATCAGAAATAAACAAATAAGTTTGTTAGTTAGGAGAAGAACCTAGCTGAACTGTGTCAATTGTTTTGGTCTCTAGGTTGAAAATTATGAAATCTGTACGGAAAAATGTTCCAAAAGTGTCCGGTTGATGGTCTCCGACCAGTACCTAAGCCAACAAGAAGCCAGAAAGTTTAAATACAGTACTGGTTGGGGACCACCAAAACCGGACAACCACCAAACCCGGACAGCCCCGAAAATGCTTAATTTAGATTTTTTTTTGTTCAGCGGTGGTCAGTCACTTTTATATCAACAATAAATGCATGTTTCTTCTAAAATTAAGTAAATAAATTTATTTCAACTTCCGTAAATGGTAATATTTAAATGTCTATTTCAAGAATGTTGAAATTGAAATTTTGGGGCCAAGAAAGAATGCCTGACCTCATATACCAGCTATAATCATTTGCAGAGTAAACAATATAATATCCAAAACTTCAGCATTTGTTGCTGAAATATTGTATATCATATTAAAAATAAAAAATAAATACACCCAAGCTTTTATCTGAATTAAATCATGTCATGTACATATCTGTCCGGACACATGGTACTGTAGTGTTGACAATTTAGGTAATTTTGATACCCTCCTTGACGAGCCTCAGATATATTGTCTCAATATAATAAGAAGAAGTGAAACTGGTTTGTTAGTTAGGAGAGGAACCTAGCTGTACTATGTCAAATTTTTAGGTCTCTAGGTTTGAAATTATGAAATCTTTATGGAAAAATGTTCAAAAAGTGTCCGGTTGATGGTCCCCGACGCTTTTTTTAGTGTATAAAATCGTTTTTCATTGATTGTCACTCACCTTAAGGAATTTATTTCCCTAGGACAGTAACAGTATAATTCAGTTATAGAAGTTAAACGTGAAATTAAGATTTCAGTATGTAAGTACAGTCAAACTGATACAAAATTTAGATTTTATCGTTTTCTTGGCCACCTGTGTGTAAAATTCTTCTTTGGAAAGAGCTTTAAATAACGACAACTCTAATTTTACTTTTAGTTTTAACGGAAAGTGGCGAAATGTTCCGATTTGACAAGGAAACTATGGTGGCTACTTTAGGACATAATTTCAATTGTATCAATCGCAATTTACGAAAGTCACGTTGCACCAATTTCGTGATAATGTTGAATTCTGCATAAGCCGGTGCTAGGGGGCGTATACGGTATTGCACTTTCGAGTACCGTCCATGAACAGGCTCAATCAAACCGAGCCTGCAATATTTTTCAATTTTGTCGTGTTGGACTTTCTTTAGGGATTCTGTATTTCTCTATTTTATCGTTACATCCGTGTTATTCGTGCCGTGTGGCGGCTTTAAAAAGTCTCCACGTAGGCCTACATTCAATGATGTTATATTTCCGATCCTTGAAGATCGTTCAGCAAGACACTATTGTTGTGTATACATGTCATGTGGTCATGTGGTACTTTTAGTTCCTTCCTTTTTGGCCATTTTCAACTTGGGTGGTTCCAGTATTCCTACTTAAATACTGTATAATCACCTTAAATAGGTTATGTTGCCTGCTTTTTAAATATGTCTTATTTGTGATATGCATGCTTCATAACCTCAGATCCCCTTTCAAAATTCCATTTTATTTAGTTCCGCCCATTGTTTTCTCGTTTAGGGCACATGCATGAACAGGCTCAATCAAACCGAGCCTGCAACATTTTCATTTTTGTCGTGTTGGACTTTCTTTAGGGATTCTGTATTTCTCCATTTGATAAATGCATGCATTCAAAGAGTAACAAATATATAAAATACTTAATAAATAGAATTGTACTGACTGTTTATTTTATTGATAATTTATTTAACATTATGACAATACTGTAGATCTACATGTTTACAAATGAAATAAAGTATGCAACATAAATTTTGCTTATATCGAAGAAAATCATTGTTAACATTTTGTTCCACATATTGCAACGCTGATTCAATCTATTTTATAACTTTTAATATTATCATCAGATATTTAGATCTAAGTATGGTCACCATCATCATCATCATTATCATCATCATCATCATCATCATCATCATCATCATCACCACCACCACCACCACCATCAGAGTTCATATGATCAGAGACATATGAGCTGCTTTTATCCGTTATCTTCTACAAGAACGATCACTCACGTAAAACTATTATTGATTTATAATTTGGTAGCCTCCCTTTATTCACACTTTATATTTAAAACACTGTATCGTCTGCTAAGTTTTGTTATTTATAGACTATGGTTAAACTGAGAGTGCCTTTGACCATCCGACTGCATTGTTTAAAGGTATGTCTACAGTATGCCATTTCCGAATATGTGAAGATGACACCAATCAGTCAAACATGTAACGTTTCCGAACTTTTTTGACCTTGATTCGTTGATGACATCTGGCATTGATCACAATGTATGTGTTATTTTGAAGCTTAGAAGACAAATTCGTCAACAAAGCCTTGAGATAGATCTATATTTTTTATTTCTTTATAGGAAGGGTCAGTGGGGAAGGGGTGGGGGAGGGGTAGGATGATATGCACGACCTGAAATTCTTGTATTTAAAATACATAATTTTGGGTTTTGGCCTCTTTTGTTATCTTCTTTTTTCAGTTTAAAAAAAATGTACATGTAATTAGCGTTTACTTGCATAGCCTTGCATATAAAGTTACGCCGTCGACGCCCGATCAAAAACTTTCGAAACTAGTATAACTTGCATAAAATCCCTTGCAATCAACGTCCTTATTTGAGCCGCGTCACGACAAAACCAACGTAATGCAATTGCGATCAGCATGGATCCAGACCAGCCAGCGCATCCGCTGTTCGCTTACCAACTCTATTACAAGTAGAGAAACTTATAGCGAACAGCATATGGATCCTGATCAGACTGCGCGGATGCGCAGGCTGATCTGGATCCATGCTGGTCGCAAACCCATTATGTTGGTTTTGACAATCAACGTCCTTATTTCATTCTACCTCGGGATTTCTCCCGACGTCACGATTTATTGAAATCTTTATTGCCTATGAATGCCAGAAGTTGCACATATTCTATAGGTAAACAGCATAAATTATATATAATGTATTTTCTTATGATTACGTAAGTCTGTAATTATACTTAATGTATTCGTAATCAAATAAATATAAGGCGGTTACATAATGCATGTTTTAAGAGATATGACTCACGAACTGTGGCCTATTTGATTAAGAAATGACACCGACACGTCTAAACACTGTACAAGGTTTTCCCAGTTATCGCCGGTTTACACCGTAAATAATTGGAAACTTTTAGTTTAAATATGCAACCTACATTAATATGCAACTGAGACAATTGTCTTTGTATGATTCATTCGGAAAAGACACTGTGGTCGAAATGTTAAAAGAAAGTATCAACGTTCAAGCATTTAAAATAGTTTGTCAGCAAATTTAAATCATGTTGTCGTGAGCGAGCGAGCGAACGAATGAGCGAAACAGCTTAAATAACAGTTTAAATAAATAAATAAATAAACAAATAAATAAATAAATTTGATATTAAGATCTCGCCTGTCTATTTGAGTGCGAGTCCTTTGAGCAAGTTTATGTGTTTTGCAACATGTGTGCATTACTTATCAAGCTGTCTGCAATGATTGGTACTGTCTGGTGCTGGTTGGTACTGTCTGATACTGTCTGGTGCTGGTTTGTACTGTCTGATACTGGTTGGTACTGTCTGATACTGCCTGGTGCTGGTTGGTACTGTCTGATACTGGTTGGTACTGGTTGATACTGCCTGGTGCTGGTTGGTACTGTCTGATACTGCCTGGTGCTGGTGGATACTGTCTGGTGCTGGTTGGAACTGTCTGATACTGCCTGGTGCTGGTTGGTACTGTCTTACTGTCTGGTACTGTCTAGTGCTGGTGGATACTGCCTGGTGCTGGTTGCATATTTGTCTGTTGTTTACGCCCGTTCTATGCGGTGAAGTTTCATAAAGATCAATGTTGGAACAGAACAGGACAAAAGATTTACAGTTTATGTACAATTTAAATCTGAATTTTACTTTTGAATTTCAAGGTTGAAATCGGTACACGTTGTCACAGTCAGTTTAATAAACAATCACGTGAATTTGAGACATCATTGTGTACCTATTTCACATATAAATTTATTACAGCTTTTATCAACAAATAAACGTGTGTGGTTTCGGCATAACGTTCACATGACCGTCGATTGTACTGAAATCATTTTCGATTTTATATAAGGCGTTCAAGTTCATATTAAGTCAAAATTATTTCAATGGTGTGCCAAAGCTAGATTCTGCGATAATTTTTGCTCAGGGTGTTTTGGGCCACATTATACAATTATATATTACATAAAACACGTAAATTCTATACAAGAAAGTTACAATGACAAGTACCTTTAAAGACTTATTCATTGAAAATGATCTGTCACTTTGGAAGAAATACTACTTTTGGTTTCTTATGAAAACAAAAAGCAGACGATATTGATTTTTACAATTTATAGGTCAAAGAAACTAATTTTTGTTTCATAATAGATACCCAACCCAGATTATTGGTGCCAATGTTACAAAACACTGTGAAATTGATTGTGAAATTGTCACTTTTCAACTATTGACCCTGATTGCATGATTAAGTAAACAAATATAGTGACAAACGGTTTTACGCAGCTGACCTTAAATTTGGCCAGTTGCCACTTTACAAGTACGTGTACTAAATAATGCCCGAAAATAAACATGTTGTCAATACCTATTACCTTTATCTTACGAAATGTTCCGGGTTTAAATAAAATCATTACGACAGGTGGTTAAAAAAAGGTATGGTCATAAATTGCAAAAGATTTTATCAGAAAACTTTATAGGTCATTTTGCAAGGATGAATGACGAGTATTTTATACATGTATTTACATTGTACTAAATGTTTATTCTCTAGCAATCTGGCGTGATTCTAAACCGAACTAATTCACCAAATAGTTTAATTAAATAAAATTTTGAACCCTTTGCCGATCAAGATGATTCAAAATGTTTAACGCTGTACAGTTTATGAATAATATGTTATTTATTTGGATTAAGTAAGTAATCCAGTATCGAAAGCTAGAATAATTTGTAAATGTATTTACAATAGAATGATGTAACCCCAGTCTATCACCCATTCTTATCGTGATAGGTATAAAAGACGGAATCCGTGTTGATTCTATAATGTTTTTTTCTCTCCCGTTTGTAAACGCATGTCATAGCTGAAACTTTACCGTTGTCACGAAGTACTTGTCTGACTTTATTGTGTCATATTTCTGGGATTGTACATGTAGAATAGCTGCATAGCGGAGCTTGCATAATTTACATAATTGAGCCATGTCATGACAAAACCAACATAATGGGTTTGCGACCAGCATGGATCCAGACCAGCCTACGCAACCGCGCAGTCTGATCAGGATCCACGTTGTTCGCTTTTAAAACCCTTTTAAAAAGTAGAGAAACGAAGCGATCAGTAGGGGTCCCTGATCAGATCGGGGGATGAGCG